ACCTTAGCAGGAACAGTGGGAGTCTGTGGAGTTTTAGCTTCAGGAAGCTACCTTCCTTCCACCCCTACTCCATAGCTGGTAGCTCTACCAAGGCTCAGTAGTCTAGAAGTGAAGACAGGGGAGCCCCATGCCCAGGAATTTGTCAAAAGTAATCATTACCTTGGTGGCACCCATCAGGAAAGCCCAACACTGCAACTAACTGGGGCTGCAATATTTGGAGCAAGCAAAAAAAAAAAAAAATCCATAAACGTCATAGAGAGATCCAGGAAACAAACAGGCATAATGAGCTCTAATAAACTGCAAAACACCCCAGTGGTCTGAAAGGCTGCACACATGTGCAAGTCTGTATACACACTCAGGAGAGGGCCTCAGGTATGTACTCAACCCCGGCTGAATGTGAGGTCTTGCACACAAAAGAAGCCTTATTGGCTCAAGATGTGTAAACACAACCTCCAAGTAATCCTTGGTTGGCCTCTAAGCATTGGTTAGAGGGAAATTTATAGTTTTAAATGCCTATACTAAATAGAAAGAAAATATCAAATCATAAGGTTATACTTTAAGAATCTACCAAAAAAAAAAAGGCAATCTAAACCCAAAGCAAGCAAAAGAAGGAAATTATAAACATTAAGGCAGAAATCAATGGAATGGAAAACAAAAATAATAGAGAACACTAAAGAAATACAAAACTTAGTTTTTTAAAAATATCAATAAAATTAGCAAATCTTTAGCTATAGTGACCAAGAAAAAAAGGAGCAAAGACACAGATCTGCAATTAAAGAAGACACATCAGGGATGCCTGGGTGGCTCAGTCAGTTGACCATCTGCCTGGCTCAGGTCATGATCCCAGAATCCTGAGATGGAGTCCCTCATCAGGCTCCCTTGCTCATCAGAGACATCATTAGTGACTTTACAGAAATTAAAAGGTTTTCAAGGAAATACTATAAACAATTTTATGCTAACAAATCACACAACTTAGATGAAATGGATAAATTCCTAGAAAAATATACATTACTACAACTGACTCAAGAAATTAGAAAATCTGAACAGACATTAAAAAAATGAGAAGTTAAAAATCTTCCCAGGAATGAAAGCCCAGATGCAAAAACACTTAAAGAAAAAAATCATACCAATTCTCCACAAACTCCTTCATTAAAGAGAGGACGACACACTTTGAACTTATTCTGTATAGTTAGTATTACTTTGGCACCAAAGACACTACAAGAAAAAAAATTCACACCAATTTTCATGAATAGAGACATAAAAGTCATCAACCAAATAATAACAAACCAAATCCTACAATATATGAAGAGGATTATATACCATGACCAAACAGCTTTTATCCCAGGAACCCAAGACAGTTTAACACTTGAAAATAAAATAATATATGACATGTTAATAGAATAAAGGGGAAAAAACTACATGATAATCTCAAGGGACACAGAAAGAACATTTGACAAAATCCAAGATAAAAAACTTTCAATGAACTAGGAATAGAAGGGAATTTCCTAAACCTGATAAAGGACACCTACAAAAAACCTACTGCTAACATAATAGTGAAATGCTTTTTCTTTAAACAATGCAAGCATGCCCACTCTTGCCTGCCTGCTTGCTGTTCAACGCTAGAGGTTCTAGTCACTGTAGTTCACAAGAAAAAGAAGGCATCCTGACTGAAAAAAGAGAGGTAAAAATACTTGTATATATGGACAACATAATCCAGTATGGTATAAAACCACTAGTAACTCATAATGAGTTCAGCAAGGTCATAGGAGACAAGATCAATATAGAAAAATTAATTATATGCCTATATTTTATCAATGAGCAATCCAAAAATGAAATTAAGAAAATAATAAATACCATTCACACCAGCATAAAAAGAATAAAGTATTTAGGAATAAATTCAGCCAAGGAAGCACAAGCCTTATTTATTGAAAGCATAATACAATAAACTAAGAGAAGCTAAAGAAGATTAAATACAATGGAATATTTTTCAGCCAAAAAAAAAAAGAAGGAAATCATCCCATTTGTGACAATATGGATGAACATGGATGACATTATGCTAAGTAAAATAAGCCAGACACAGACTGACAAATACCATATGACCTCACCTATATGTGGACTCTAAAAAGTGACATTCCAAGAAGCAAGGAGTAGAACTGCCAGGAGCTAGGGAATGGCAGAAATTTGGGGAAAATTTTCATCTTAAAATTAGTGATTCCTCCAATCCATGAGCATTAAGTGTTTCTCCTATTTTTTTTTTAATGTCACAGCAGCTTTCTTATCATAATAGTTACAAATTTGAACTATCCCAGATGTCCATTAAGAATAGAATATTACGGGGCGCCTGGGTGGCTCAGTCGTTGAGCGTCTGCCTTCGGCTCAGGTCATGATCCCGGGGTCCTGGAATCGAGCCCGGTATCAGGCTCCCTGCTCGGCGGGAAGCCTGCTTCTCCCTCTCCCACTCCCCCTGCTTGTGTTCCTTCTCTCGCTGTGTGTCTCTCTCTGTCAAATAAATAAATAAAATCTTTTAAAAAAAAGAATAGACTATTACGGCGGGAAAGCTGAGTCACGGTGGAGAGGCCACGGCCCCCCAGCGGCTGTGTGGAGCGGCGGACTCGTGGAGGGGCGGCCTCACTGGGAGCCACACAAGGAGAGGGTCCGAGTCCGCGCCGCAGAGGTGCCACCGCAAGACCACTTGCATTGATATGTTGTTGATTTGTTCGCATTGAACTCATGGCCAGCAGTGCTGTAAGTCATGCCTGAACCCAGCCTGTATGCTACTGTTCTCTGTAAGGTGCATCGCAGTCTCCTGGTACTTAGGAAACTGGACAGCACTTATACACCAGCCTGAAGTCCACTTGAAACGGAAAGACTGCCGCCAAAAAGCTAAAAAATGTGAAGACCGTAACGCTAAATAGGCTGTGGAACGTTAGCTTATTTACCGTATCAGAACTGGAACAAGAAGGAAGGTGTTATCTTGTCCCACCTTGACTGGAAGTGTGTTTCTGAGGCAACTTGAGTTTTTTGCTACTTAGCACATGTTGGCAAATAACTGCTGAAGTACCACAAGTATTGAATTTGGAGTTACAAATAAATTTAGCAGATAGGCAAATTCACAAATGTGGAATCCACAAATCCACAAATTCACAATAACAAAAAAAAAAGAAGAACAGAATATTATATGTACACCTGCAACTAATGAAATACTGTATGTCGACTATATTAAAAAAATAGATTATATAATATTCATACAGTGCAGTAACACGCAGAAATGAAAGAGAATTAAGTACTGATACTTGGAATAGCAAGCAACAGCATGGATGAATCACCATACCAAAAGAAGACCACTGTCTAAAATTCCATTTACATGAAGTTCCAAGACAGGCTTGTTTAATGTATGGTGATAGGAGGCAGAATGGTGATTACTGTTGGGAGCTATAGACTTGGAGGAATGTGAGAAAACCTTCCTGTATGTTTGAAATGATCCTGCCCACCCCCAGCTTTATTGAGATACAACTGACAAATAAAAATAAACACAAATAAATTGTATATATTTAAGGTGTTCAACATGATGATTTCATATAAGTATAATTTGTGGAAGTGATTACCACAATCAAGCTAACTAGCATATTCATCACCTCATATAGTTACCTTTGTTATGTATATGTGGTAACTCTACTTATGAGATACTGTATTAACAAATTTCAAGTATGTAATATAGTATTATTTATAGCCACTATGTTGTATATTAGATCCCCATAACATTTGTCTTATAACTGGAAGTTTGTACATTGTGACTAGTGTCTCCCCATTTCTACAGAGAACATAAGTATATGATGTCACTTACATAAAACTCTAGAAAATACAGACTAATCAACAGTAACAGAAAGCAGACCAGCTGTTGCCTTGGGATGAGAGTAAGGGATGTGAAATGGCCAGAGGAAGAGATTACAAAGATGCCCAAAGAAACTACTGGTGATGATGAATATGCTCATTATATTTGAGCGTCAAAACTTATCAAAGTGCACATTTTGATAAATTCAGTTTGTTGCATACTGATTATACATTAATAGTGCTGTAAAAAAAAAAAATGGATCGCAGGAAAACAGAAAACAAAATGAACTGTTACATGGTTATTAAAATTCTCCAGACAAGAGGCAGTAGTGGCTTAAGACTGGGATGGAACCTATAGAGGTGGAACGGTGAGTAGGTAACTTTAAAGCTTATTAGAATACAGAATTGTCAAAAGTTTGTTGGTGAAATGAATAACTGGGAGTTGAAGAAAAGGAAGCAATCAAGGACTTTTACTTGGTGTTGGCTACTGACTGAATAGTAGTGTCATCTACTAAAATGACAAAGACTGGGATAGGATTACAGAGTCAGGGTTTCTCACCATGATTACCAGGAGTGATTCAAACTGGTTTTACAAGTTTAATGCATTTGAAAAATGAACCAGGATTTATATACAGACAACTAGAAAATAAAAGGGGGCACTGATCAACCACCATAAATAAGAAAAATAAATTAGTATGTTTATTATACAGAAAAAGAACTAGTAATTCATGGAGATTATAAAACAAATGCAAAGCACCTTGGCTCAAAATATTTTTTTAATGAATGAAAAGTAGATGTGCGCATTAGAAAATAATTACTTAAAACTGTTAATTAAATGCTACATTTAACTTCTAGTATTTTTTTTCTAGAAGTATTACTTAGGTTTGTCTACATTTCTAAAAAATATTTGTCCATTAAAACTGAATTAATAATTCAAAGAAAGAATGCTGCAACTTCTTTACTTCCTTCAAAATATTTGCTTGGGATGTCTGGGTGGCTCAGTCAGTTAAGCATCTGCCTTCAGCTCAGGTCATGATACCAGGGTCCTGGGATCAAGTCCCGCATCAAGTTCCTTGCTCAGCTCAGCCTGCCCCTCCCTCTCTCTCACTCTCTCTTTCTCTCTCATAAATAATAAATAACAAATACAATCTTCAAAAATCTTTACTTACCTGTTTAATCTTTTGAATAATGACCTAAATTGTCCTGTTTTATATGTTGGACTGAGAGCATCTTGATTTTCATTTAATTTGGAAACCAAGGAATTAGAATAATTAACTTTACTGAGCTGAAAAAAGAAAGAAGAACCTGCCAAAATGGTAAATGTACATACATGTATACAATTTAAATTACTTACCATAAAATGTCATCTAAGTGGATATCCATATGCAAAAAAATGAATTTTCTAGTTAAAAAGAAAGTAACTGTGTCCTTTATGAAAACAAAACAAATACTGTGCTAACAGTCAAAGCAATATCAATATTTAAATGATTGTTAAAATAACAGAATTGATACTATGATGAGCTAACCATTTCCTCAGAAGTTAAAATACATAGATATTAATCATAATACATATTATAAATATAATTAAATAAAATTCAAAAATATATTAATTATAATATATTATAAATATAATTATAAATAACTTATATATATATAATAACGAGGACACCAGGATCTTGAGAAAATTATCTCTGAAAGTAATTTTTCCCCAAAAAACAGTTGTATTTCAGTTTTATCCATTTATTGAGTAATTTTAAAGAATGCTCCTTTAATCTTTCTGAATATCAGTATCATTGAGTGCAAAATGGGGAACGTATGAAAAGACTTGTGGAAAACAGATGAGGTAATCCATTTGTTAATGTGGAAGGTACCACATAACTGTAAGATGTTATAGTGGCCCAACACTAATCTATCCAGCAATAATAATTTATATCTGTAATATATTTTATTTATTAGCCATGAAACACAGAAATGAGAAGTCCAAAAACAATCAATGACACAAAGTTGGAAAAAAAGAAGAGAAGACAAAAAGAGATATTGAAAGTCTTAGGGAAGAAAAGGGGGGAGTCCAAAGTCAGGGAGACCTGGAAATAAAGTCTGGTAATACATCTCGTATCTCAGCCTCAGAGAAACAGTGACAGAGGTACAGAGACAAAGTCATCCCATGAAGTGAGAAACAAACCAAAAGAGAATACTTTATGTTGGCTCAATATTACTTCTCTAGGGATCAGTGAGCCCCAACCTACTTTTTCTTCTAACCTGTTGTTTCAACTCATTTTCTGTTGTATTTTGTAGTTTCATTTTAATTCTCACTTTTCTTGAAATTCCTCCAAATAAGCAATTAAACACTTTTCTAATACTTCACTATGTGCCACTACACCTTGAACAGGAACATCAGCCTCTCTTTTTAATTTTCTCTTCTGTGTATTAAGTGTAACATTATTGGGACTTCTGGGTGGCTCAGTCGTTGAGCGTTTGCCTTCAGCTCAGGTCATGATCCCAGGGTCCTGGGATCGAGTCCTGCATTGGGCTCCCTGCTCAGCGGGGAGCCTGCTTCTCCCTCTGCCTGCCACTCCCTCTGCTTGTGCTCAAGTGAGCACACTCTCTCTCTCTGACAAAATAAATAAAATCTTCAAAAAAAAAACAAACAAACATTATTTACCCCTCTGAAGATAATCACTAATCTGCAGACTAAAAGTAGATTATTTAAGTAGAGATTACAGAGAGTTACACATTCTCTATCCTATAAACTATCTAGGATGCAAATTTTAGTCTTATAAAACACAAACTGAATAAATGTTTTTCATTGCATCATTCCAAAGTTAATGGGTCCTTAAATTAATAAGGCTAACATCTATCACTGGAAATACAATACTTTATTTTCTCTTCTCTGAAAAACAGAAAACATACTTTCAAAAATACTTTCATAAAACTGAATCATATCATTAATATCACTATATATTAGATATAATGTACCATGTGTAATCATAACTTATAAAATTTGTAAATTATAAATTTGTTTATAAATGATAAATACATAAATATGGCATAAAACCAACGCATGCTAAAAATGGAAGAAATTCAAAACAGTATTCCCATTAATAAGACACCATGTTTATATAACCATTTTCCCCACTACCATTATACATTAGTATAATAATAATTTTATGTACTTATTTTTTAAACTCTATATAATCTAATAAAATGACTATTTTTTATAGTTTATGGCAGATATATCTCAGAATTTTAAAATCTGGATGTTTTTAGATTTTTATCTTTAGAAAATACAATGACTAAACAATATTTTAGCACTGCACATCTCTATATAAACACATTTGTATAGTTTTAATTCAAGTGCATATAACCAGTTGTCATCTGTCAAATCATAAAAAGAATCAAACCATCACAATTCATTCTTTAATGGACTACTACAACATCACTGAGATTATATACTGCAATTCACAGGGCCCTTTCCATATCATGACTATTGGGGCCACCACCACATCACCAACTAGTTATTTACTGTGATTACAATCATCAACTTTTATATAAACACACTGAACTATTTTCAATTTCACTATCAGTAATGTTATAAAAGAATGATGATTTCAAAGATTTTTTAAAAAGATTCCAATTTTTGGATTCATAATCTTCTACAGAGCAGACAATTAAATTTTGACCAAAGAGGAATTATTATACTTAACTGATACCCTAATTTGGCTGTATCTATAGCAATTCACAACTAGTATTTTTTAAGTCCATAAGAACAGAAAAAAAGAGCATATCATAAAAATACAATGATATAAAATGCTAAGACTCGTGATTCAAATGTACCTGCTCATTCTGCTTTTTTTCACATGCAACTTTCTGAGGACTAGGTGCTATTCTGAGAATGAAATTTTGTTTTGTAATATTCCTGTTAGAAGATAATTCTGCTGAAAAAGATGGTTGAGCGAAACTACAATTTTCTATTCTGTTGAACTGAGGTTTAAACATTTTATATGAGTCCATGACTTGTAACAACTATAGGAAAAGAAGATAAAACCATTTGATCTGCTAAAATATATAAACTTGAGAAGAGGAAAGTCAACATAGGAATGAAAAAGGTCACAGACTACAGAAAAAGTTCCAAGGAAAAACAAGTCATCAGTAATTCAGAGGACTTACTAAGATAAGAGAGGTTATCAACTAAAATTATATTGAAGCGCTCCTTTCCATCTGCCTTTCTCACAACTGGTCCCCTCCAAGCTTCATGCCATCTCCAAATGACAAGAAATCTGAGTTTCACGGACCCACAATTCAGGTAAAAAGATTTCCAAGAAATTTTAGTATCATTGCCATTCATGCAGTTTAATTTTGGCAATTCAAAGCAAAGAAAGAATAATTAATATAGCATTGGACCTGAGGCACCTGGGTGGCGCAGTCAGTTAAGTATCTGACTCTTGGTTTCAGCTCAGGTCATGATCTCAGTCTCGTGAGACTGAGCCCCGTGTAAGGATCCACACTCAGCACAGAGTGTGCCTAAGATTCTCTCTCTCTCTCCCTCTGCCCCTCCCGGTCCTGTGCTCTCTCTCTAAAATAAATAAATCTTTAAAAAATATATAATAATATAGCATTGATCTTAAAATTTCAAGGTTTAATTACAATCTATATATTTTCTAATTGATTAAAATTTTATTTACTAAAAAAATCATCTGCAATACTTGAAAGAAATATAATCTCCCAAGATTATTATTATCAGTGTAAATGTTGAAAATCACAATTTGATATAAAATCATATGGTCACTATGCTAGAAGAGATGAATTTCTCAATGATCATATAAACCCAAAGCAGGAATACCCAAATGAATTATCTTTTGCAGCTCATCAGTAACAAATGTTATGTACACATAGGCCTGATCTACATTACCAGAACTCCAAAGGGTTTCTTTAAGCAATCAGTTAAAATATACCTAACGTATAAGTTCCATATATTGAAAACTTTAAAAATAATTTTTAAAGACTGTAAAAAATTTTTTTAAAGAATCATTTTCCCTGATATTCGGAAAATTTCTATCATTTGGTAGCATTCCACAATTGTTAAAGTAACTTAAAAAAATTTTTTTTAAATCTCACCTGAACTGGGGCAAATTCTTTCTTGCTGCCTAGTCTTGACAGTACATAAAAAAGAAAAGAAAAATGTAAGGTTAAAAAAAAAAGCTGGTAATAAATTTGACTATCTTTTTATATATATTTAAAACTCATACTATTCTATAGAAATACATCAAAACATACAGAACTCTAAATCATTCTCAAATTTTTTAAAAATTGTATTATTACTAAAGAAACATTTTGAGGATAAGGAAAGTCAAACTATGCATACAAAACACTTAGTATGACATTAGCTCATTTGATAAAAGTCTTAATAGTTTAATAATACTGTTACCAGCCAAACAAAAACTAGAGCTAGAAAAAAGTCCTCTGTATATCTTCTAATGAATAAAACAGTACGATGATGACCCGTTTAAATATCTAAATAACATACAACCTTGCTAAAACATACCTGTTGTCTATATCATCAATGCGGAGGTTAGATGGTACACAGTGAGGTGACATTGGAAGTTCTAAATTATGCTTTCTTAGGGGCATTTTTATGTCTCTATGCATATTCACGTGGATTGGTTTTCTCACAGTTTCTATAATGAAAAAAGTTATAATTAAAAATAAAATCTTGGGGTGCCTGGGTGGCTCAGTTGGTTAAGCATCTGCCTTCAGTTCAGGTCATGATCCCAGGGTCCTGGGATCGAGACCCGCATCGGGCTCCCTGCTCAGCGGGAAGCCTGCTTCTCCCTCTCCATCTGCCTGCTGCTTCCCCTGCTTGTGCTCTCTCTCTTTCTCTGTGACAAATAAATAAATAAAGTCTTTAAAAAATGAAAAATAAAAATAATCTTAAAAAAATCTTTTAAAAGCAACGTTTGATATATAATGTTCATTAAATAAGTGTACATCTTAGAAATTTCCTAAAACTACCTATATTCTAAATATGCTAGAAGTCATTAAAGTATAAAAACTATCACAGACAATTCAAATCATCTTTTTCATTATCTTACGTAGTCCTCATGAAAGGGGCTATACTGATTCAGTTCTATTTTTTTCTTCCTTTAAGATTTCCTTGACCCCCAGACTATACCAGATGCTATGTTATACATGCCAGTAGCACTACATATGTTCTCTATTGTAGCACTTACCATGGTTTACTGTACCTGATTAATTCTATCTCTCTTACTAGATCTTTAAACTTTATAGAAACAGAAGCCTTTTCTCTCCTTATACAAGATATCACTATTTGTCTGCTCAGTACTTTTTAACCACTCTCCTTTTCTAGGTAATGCTTTTTACACACATACCAACTACACAGGGGCTCTTTTGTGCTTTTTTAAAATTTATTTATTTATTTGTTTATTTGAGATCAAGCAGGAGAGAGAGCAGGAGGGAGAGGGAGAGAGACTCTGAAGTAGACTTTGCAATGAGCACAGAGCCTGATGTGGAGCTTGATCCCATGACCACAGGATCATGACCTGAGCTGAAACCAAGAGTTGGATGCTTAACCAGCTGAGCCACCGAGGTGCCCCAACTATACAGTTCTAATAGAGAACTTCATATCTTCTTATAAAACCCTGTCTCTAGAAAAAATAATTGACTTAAGGGGAACCATCTGACCCAAGATGAACCAATAATAGGATCACATCTCTGTGGTTATAAATAATTGTTCCATTGCTAGGACCTGGCACCAGTAGGGCAAGGTAACATACTTCCAGTAAAATTTAAAAACTCAGAACAAAAGAAACAACTCTCAGTGTTTCCCTTGTGGCAAAACAGGAGAGATGAGCAATATTAGTTTTTTAAAGTCATGTTTTAAGCCTGAATGAAAAAGACAATCTGAGAGAATAAATATCTAAAGTGAGAAAAAAAATCTTGGTGGTATTCAAGTCCCCGATTCAAGCAGTCTCTGAGGCCCAGCTGCACCACTGCTCTTCCTTTTAGTAAAGTGTCTTAGTCCATTCAGGCTGCTCTAACATAATACCATAGACTGGGTAGTTATAAACAACAGAAATTTATTTCTCAGCCAGGCAGTCCAAGATCAAAGTGCTCTCAGGCTCAGGGTCTGGTGAGAGCCTGAGTCCTGGTTCACAGAGAGCTGTCTTCTCCCTGTGTCCTCACACAGTGAAAGGAGCAAAGAGAGCTCTCTGGAGTCTCTTTATAAAAGCACTAACTCCATTCATGAGGGCTCCACCATCATGACCTAACCACCTCCTAAAGGCCCCACCTCCTAATACCATCACTAATAAGCTTATGCTTTTGTAAGGAAGGAAAAATATCTTTTTCCTCTACCTTTCTAAATTCTCAGCTAGGAACTCTATAACAAAAGACAGATTAGTAAGAGGAAAAACATACCAATTTATTTAGTATAAATTTTAAACAGAAAACTTTATAAGGAAATGGAGACCCAAAGAAGTGGTTAAACCTGAGCATTTTTATGCTAGCTTTGATGGAGAATGAAAAGTAGTGGGAAAATGTGATCGAACAAAAAAGGGTATGAACTAAATCTAGCCAACAGGAGGAAACAGCAAGGCTTATTTGTTTAGATTCTTCTCAGTGTCCCTCTGTCTTGGAGATAAAGATGTTCCTTTCCTCCAGGTATAGGGAGGACACTTCTCACATGAGGATCCTTCCTGCACATGCTGCTTCTCAAATTCCTTCAGCTTAAGATCTTTAGTATGCCAACATGCTTTATTTTTGGGACAGTGTGTCCTGACCCCATCATTTTCTATTCTATTCCCAGCATCCAATACACTACTTAATGGAAGTACTCAATAATGGAGATACTCAATAAACATGTTGAACGTATAAATGAAAAGCAAGTGAGGAAGAAAGGAAATATATAAAGACAAATACATCATTGACAGTCCCATGAAAAAGAGTGAAATTGGTCCCCTATCTTACAACGTACACAAAATTCAACTCAAAATGGATTAAAGAGTTGACTATAAGACCTAAAACCATAAAACTAGAAGAAAATATAAGGGGTAAGTTCCTTGGCATCAGTCTAAGCAATGGTTTTTTGGATTTGACACCAAAAGCAAAGGCAACAAAAGCAAAAACAAACATGGGGAACCACATCAAACTAAAAATCTTCTACACAGCAAAGAAAATCATTACCAAAATGAAAAGACAAACTATGGAATGGGAGAAAATATTTGCAAATCATATATCTGATAAGGGTTCAAACTGCAAAATATATAACGAACTCATACGACTCTTAGCAAAAAATGAACAATCTAATTTTGTAAATGGGCAGTGGAAATGAATAGACATTTTTCCAAAGAAAACATACAAATGGCCAACAGACACATGAAAAGGTGCCCATCACTTATCTTCAGGGAAATACAAATCCAAACCACAATGAGATATCACCTCACACCTTTTAGAATGACTATCATCAAAAAGGCAAGAGATAACAAGTGTTGGGAAAGATGTGGAAAAGGGAACCCCTGTGCACAGTTGATAGGAATGCAAATGGGTGGAGTAACTATGGAGAACATAATATATGTTCCTCAAAAAATTAAAAGAAAAACTACATACTTCAGCAATCCTACTTCTGACTATATATCCAAAGGAAATGAAAACAGAATTGTAAGGAGATATCTGTACTCCCATGCTCCTGTGAAGGAGCATCATTCACAATGGGCAAGATATAAGATATGAAAATAACCTCATGTCTGTCAATGGACGACTGGAAAAAGAACATGTGAGATATACACATATGATGAAATATTCTTCAGCCATGAACATTAAGGAAATACTGCCATTTATGACCGCTTGGATGGACCTTAAAGGCATTATGTTAACTGAAATAAGCTAGAAAAAGACAAATAATGCACGGTATCACTTACACGTGGAATCTAAAAAAGAAAATCAAATTCACAGAAACAGGGAGTACAAAAGTGGTTGTCAGGGGCTGGGGACTAGGGAAGAGGGGAAATACAGGTTGGTAACAGGTCAAACTTTAGCTATAAGATGAATAAGGTATGAGGATCTAATGTCAAATGTCATGACTGTGGCTGACAACACTATATTACATAAGTGAAGAAAAAGAAGGTAAATACATCAAACAGATTTACAACAAAACTTTTATTCCTAAAGTCCATAAAGAACGTATTTACGTCTAACGTATAACTAAATTTGCTTGTGTAAGCCGCCGTCTGCATTAAGGAATAAAAATGGCAGAGAAAGGAAAAGAGGAGATACTAACAGTACTTAGGATCAATTTCTATCCCTCCTTTATGAACTATCTTATTTCTTAAGTTCTCATTTTAGTACTTATTTTAAAAATTAAATATCAGACACAAGTGCCCTTGAGAAAAAAAAAATACTGACTAAAATTTTATTCACCTGAAGGCTCAAAATACAGGTAAAATGAACTTTATTTTGAAGTATTAGACTACTATAGTTAACATTCCAAGAATGCCTAAGAAATTATTCAAGTTGTGATATAGGAAACTAATCATTGAGGCAAAAATCCTTTCAAACAAATTCTCTAAATACTTTAAGATAGTAAAGACATTTATTCCCTCCTCTTTTAGCTAAACTTTGGTAACTATCAGCCTATGTAGATTAATGTAGTAACTAAAACAACTGCAATATAATAACTCTGACCATACCTTATAAAATTAATTCTATATAACAACACAACTTAAAAATAAAAACAGATTAAGCAAAAAAAAAAAAGATTTTAAGCAAAAAGTAACAAAGGTACTTTAATCAAAAAGTAACTAATTTAAGAAGGCAACCAAGTTTTAAAATTAGTTTACTTTCCATATCCTCTGAGTTCTAAAATTATAAATTTATTAGAAAACTGAATGTTATGATCACATTAGAGTCAAACAAAATGCTAATGGAAAGACTTACCAGGTGTTTTCTTCTGGCAAGATATGTGATTTACCATATATAGGTTAAGGAGGTCTAAACTGACAGTGGAATTTTTGACAGGGGATGAAACTCCCAGTAATTTCATTTTTGATTTTAACCTTTTCTTTTCAAAATATTCCTAAAATAGTTAAAAATAAAAGTTATTACAACAACAAAAGTTATTAGGCAAATCATAAAAAATAAAAAAGCAGTAAGACCATTTAATAATTTAATAATTGACTTGACATTTTATATTTTATATTTTTGACACCCCCTTTATATGCTTACATAGAAATTAAAATCAATCATGATGACATAGTTTGCCTAAAGACTCTTAATTTCACAGCCTCTTAAAATCTTTTTGGTAAATGTAATGCCTTTAAAATAGAACTTTATGAAGGCATTAGTATGTATCAAAAGATTAAAAATTATCTGAAATGTAAAGCTTTTTAAAAATGTGATAAAACAAATCTGACAAGTTAAAAACTTGTTTTTCTACAGAGTATGCTTACAGATATAAAAAGCCTTAAAGATAGCCACAGCTGAGTACCATTAAAAGTCAACTGAAATGAGAAGAGGACAAGAAAAAGCAACTGTGTGAGACTAACACCAGCCAGACTCAATTTAATTTCCTTTATTATCCTTCCATGTCTGCTACTCTGCCATTAGCAAAAGCTATACTGTTGAGTGGACTGAGAAGTGAATGAGAGATAAAAGTGAAGGGGCATAGCAAGAAAGGGAAAGGATCCAGAGAGGGCTTTACTTGTTTTAATAGCAGAGAATTGAGTATGTCTGAATATCAGTGGAAAGCCTCCAGCTGACAGTGACTGGTTGAGGATACAAGAAAGAGAAGTAACTGATGCAGTGAAGTCCCTGAGAAAGATGGAATCCAGATTGCAAATAAAGAGACCTTCCTTTGACTAAAGGAAACTACTTCTACAATCACAGAAGGGAAAGAGAAAATCAGTGAAGATGTAAGATAGTTTACAGAACTGGTAGTAGATACATGACATAATTCTCATCTGATAGCTTCTATTTCCTCTGAAATGTAAGACAAGGTCATTTAATGAGTGTGAAGAGAATAAAAATAGGGTTGGGGAAGAGTGGTTTAAAGGAGGCATGAAATATTCAAGGGAAGGTATGACATTTTCAAGAATAGGAAAGTGACATAACTAGAGATTGACAGTTCAGGGAAGGGCCATGTGTCTTTCCCTTTCTTATTCACAAGAGTGATCCAGAGTTAGAATACTAAAAATACTAAAAAAAAAAAAAAATCTGGGGACAGATTATAGTTTATTTATTGAATGCCTATGTTATTGCTTGGCACAATTCTAGGCATAGGAGATACAAAATAAGCAAAAGTAATAAAATCCCTCTTCTGATGAATATATGTTAATGAAGGTGGGGGGATAACAGAGGAAACAAATTTATAAGAAAATACTGGATTATGAAAGAGAAGAGTGGTAAGAAATGGTCCTAGAAAGAAACTAGAGGGTGGGAAGCTACTTAGATGCTGTGATCAGAGAAAGCCAATCTAAGAGGAGATACTTTAGCTAAAACCTAAATGTTGACAAGCCAGACACGCAAATATCTTGAGGAAGAATATTCCAGACAAAGAGAAGAAGAATGGCAGAAAGAAGGTCAGTGTAGCTAAAATAAAATGAACAGGGCAAGTAGTAAGAAAATCAGAGAAGTAGGCAGGGCATAGATCCTTCAGGTCCTTCTAGGCTATGGTTAAGTCAGGTATTATTCTAAAAGCAATGAAAAACAACGGAAGCTTTTAAGCAGGGGACCGAAAATTCTGATTTTTGGTCTTAAAAGATCCTATTAATTGCTGTGTGAAGAACAGACTACATAGGAATAAAAGATAAAGCAGAAAAACACTGATAAATTTGATTACGTTAAAATTAAGAACTTGCCTTAAAAGACAGCATTAAGAAAGTAAAAAGCTACAGAGTAACCAAAGAATTCTAAACATATGAAGACAATAAGAAAAAGACAACACAAATTAAAAGTGGAAAAAATACTTGGGGCGCCTGGGTGGCTCAGATGGTTAAGCGTCTGCCTTCGGCTCAGGTCAGGATCCCAGGGTTCTGGGATCGAGTCCCGCATCGGGCTCCCTGATCCTTGGGAGCCTGCTTCTCTCTCTCTCTCTCATGAATAAATAAATGAAATCTTTAAAAAAAAAAGGAAAAAAATGCTTGGAAAAGTACTTCACAAAAGAGGTAACATGGATGAAAATTTCAGATAACCTCACTAGTAATCAAGAAAATAGGAGTTAAATTTACAATGAGACATCATTTCACTAATAACTATCCTACTTTTATAATAATCACTCCCTTGCTTTTCTTTAAATTTTATGAGCTTTGAACATATTTTTTCCGTTTTGGAACGTTTTGTAAATGGAATCTTACTGCTTATATTCTGTGAGTTGCTTCATTTGGTCAACATTTTATTTTTGGGATTCATCTACATTAATTACATGTGGTTGATACATTTTCACTGCTACATCATTACTTGGGTATGCCACAATTTGTTTAACCATTGTACTGCTAATGGACATTTGGGTGGTCCCCTTCCCTCCCCATACTCCTGCCCCTCTTCTTCCTCCCTTTTGACTTATCTTTCTTTTTTGCTACTTAACAACAATGATCCAAACAAGCTTGTATATGTCTCGAAGTACACATGTGGAAGAGTTTCTCTTGAATATATACTGCTCGGCTGTAAGATATATACAAGCTCAACTTCATATAATAAAATCGATGTAAGAAAAAAAACTAAAAAAGGATTATTTGAATCGGGGTACTCGTAGGACAGGTAGTGAGAAGTGATCAGACTTTCCTTAGAAGACTGGGATATATTTTGGAACTAGAATGACAACAAGAATCAACAATGATCTTTAAGTCCCTGCCTAAGAAAACGGTTGGCTGATCAAACTATCTACAAGACAGAGAAGACTGGGTGGTCTTCCAGTTACTTGGGTGAATTTATTAACCTTCAAAAAACACTTCAAAAGATCACTGTTTTTATAAGGTTAATATAAATAAAAATGTATTTTCTTTACCTTCTGCTTTCTCATTTCCTGCTTCATCAGAACCCTGGTACTGAAAAAGGAAGCAAAAGATATTATGATTAAAGAAATAGTCCCTAAAATGATTGCCATTTTAGCTGAATTGACGACTTGAAATTAAAATCTAATAGTAAGAATTATATTATTTTCTGAAAAGAAATTATGAAAATGTTATTTATAGTATATACTGTTTCACAAAATTTTCTTAGAAAATCCAAGAAATAGTAAAAAAAGACTCTACACCTACAATGAATAAACCTGGATTATAAAATCAATATAAGCAAAGTGAAAGCAATGCATTGGAAAAGATGTATCCCTGAAAGTTTCTCATTTGACATCAATATTCTCGGTCAAAACTGCTATTTTCTTGCTTTACCTTATTATTTCAATATTCTACTAAAATCAGGAGGGAATAGAGAGAAGATCAAAATCTATTTGGATCTAAGGAAATTTTAAGTTTATTATTAGAGAAATTTCAGTTATATTAATGTATCAGCTATGTGTACTAACTTCTTTAAAAAAAATAGCTAGTCATTATGGATGTGCCTTATACCTATGATCTTTGTGCTAAACACTGCACTGAATCCCAATGACAGTACAATTTTTAACAGTTATAAAATATTTGCTCTATTAGTAATAATGGAATGCTATAAAACATTTTTGACAATTTAAAAAGATCTGCACAATATAGCTTTTGGATATACATGAAACTATGGTCTCAAATTCAAGATCTGTGCAAGAATTATAAGTAAAATAAAAATAAATAAAATAAAATGTATATCAGCTATATGAGATTATATAAGAATATGAAAATAAAAATGGCTAATTAACAAGTACTATATATCTTGCACCACCCTAAATGTTTTGGACACTTTATATGTATAAATTCATTTAATCTTCACGGCAACTCCATAAGGTAAGATCTATTTTTATCCCCATTTTACTGATGAAGAAACTAAGAGAGGTTAAGTAACTTGCCCACAGTCACATTGCTGATTGGTGTAAATTAGAGATTCAAATCCAAGAATTCTGATTTTAAAGTTTTTAACCAGTGCATTACACTGCTTTCCAAGTATGTTAACTGTGAATACACAAAGCTGTTCATTTTTCCAAATGAAATTTTTCCAAATTTTCAGAAACTACATGAGTTACTGAATATCCTCATACTTACCACTTACTGAACTTATTCTTTAACATAATAGCTATGTCTTAATTGACCATTTTGAGTTCATTGAACAAAGAACCCAATCTGTTCTGTTCTATGCAGCATCATAAGTGTATTAATGGCATTCAAACTTTAGAAAAGAAAAAGGAAATAAATTACATTTCATTAACACCTCAAATGTTAAGGCTGGAGAGGATCTTAGGGATTAGTTTATTCCCCATCATTTTAAAATTTACAAAAAATTCACATAAGAAGCAAAGTGACTTTTCAAAGTTCAGAAATATAAGAAGTATGACAGAGCCAGCAATATTAAGCATTTCAGTTTATAAACAGATAATAAGAAGAGATATCAACTCTATAAGCAGTTCCCACTATAAAGATCAGCAGAATTAGGGACAAGTCAAAGTCTAAACTCAGTCTTTATATACGTAAATATCAAGTGCTTTCATTCCAGGCTGACTTTCTATTAACCAGGACACTCTTACAGCTCTCACCAAGTTCTCTGTAGCACATAATCCCCATCACTATGTGCCTAAGAAAACTCAATTAAGGACTCAAGGGGCGCCTGGGTGGCTCAGTCAATTGAACATTTAGCTCAGGTCATGATCTCAGTCAGGGTCCTGGGATCGAGTCCCTCATCTGGCGACTGCTCAGCGGGGAGACTGCTTCTCCCTCTTCCTCTGTCCCTCTGCCCTGCTTGTGTTCTCTCTCATGCCCTCGCTCTATCTCAATTAAATAAAATCTTAAAATAAAAAAAAAACTCAAGACCAGCTGCTGTATCAGCCTACTACCATATAAAAGTGAAAAAGGATCCTGATGTAGAAGTCAAAGGTAATTTCTTAAACAGAACATTTTAGATTGTTATTATGGCAACTGATGCTACTAAACAGTGTCTCTCAATTAGCTGCACTAAAGAAAAACATTGCATCAATTAGGATTTTTAGTTACAAGAAACTGAAAGCACCTTTGGTTAATTTAAACAGAAAATAAATGTATTAAAAGGAAACTGCATAGAGACACCTAGGTGGCTCAGTCAGTTAAGCATCTACCTTTGGCTCTCAGCTCAGGTCATGATCTCAAGGTCCTGGAATTGAGTCCCCACACTGGTTCTCTGCTCAACAGGGAGTCTGCTTCTCCCTCTTCCTCTGGCCCCCCCCGCCCCTCCCCACTGGCTCATGCTCTCTCAAATAAATAATAAATCTAAAAAAATTTTTTTTAATAAATAAAAAAGAAAAGAAAACTGGGGTAGCCAACAGACCTGCCAAGAGGGCTGAGGAAGCAGATTTGGCAACCTGCAGGAACAAGACAGTCTAGGCTGTGAGGTCACAGTCAAAACCATGCCATAATTAGTTTCAATAAGGATGCCACTGCTTACACACGTCAACACTGGACACCACTGACTGTACCACTGTTACAGAAAACCCAACCAAGTTCAGCTGTTCTTCGCTTGAAAAGCCAGTATTCAAGAGATGAGTTTTAATTGGAAAGGAATTTGAGCTTTATTCAGGAGGCTGGCCACCTGGAGAGAAGGTAGACTCCTGCACAAAAACCAACTCCGAGGTTTCTCTGCTTGGCGCAGAGATTTCCCCCCAACCCAAAGATTTTTTTTTTTTAAAGATTTTATTTATTTATCTGACAGAGAGATAGAGAGGGCACAAGTAGGCAGAGTGGCAGGCAGAGGGAGAGGGAGAAGCAGGCTCTCTGCTGAGGAGGGAGCCAGACGTGGGGCTCGATCCCAGGACCCCAGGATCATGACCCGAGCCAAAGGCAGCCGCTTAACCGACTGAGCCACCCAGGCGCCCCAACCCAAAGATTTTTAAAGGAACTTTATTTAGGGCAGTTATCACTAAAAGTGGAAAACCACAACTATATGGTCAATTTATCTTCGACAAAGCAGGAAAGAATATCCAATGGAAAAAAGTCTCTTCAACAAATGGTGTTAGGAAAACTGGATAGCAACATGCAAAAGAATGAAAGTGGAGGAGCCTGGCTAGCTTAGTCAGTGAAGCATGCAACTCTTGATCACAGGGTTGTGGGTTCAAGCCCCATGTTGGGTGTGGAGCCTACTTAAAAAAAAAAAAAGTTTATAAAACTAAACCAGAGATGCCTGGGTGGCTCAGGCATTAAGTGTCTGCCTTTGGCTCAGGCCATGATCCTGATATGGGATTGAGTCCCATATCAGGCTCCTTGCTCAACAGGGAATCTGCTTTTACATCTGCTTGCCACTCCCCCAGCTTGTGCATGCTCTCTCTCTCTCTGACAAATAAATAAATAAAATCTTAAAAAAAAAAACAAAAAACTAAACTGGACCACTTTCTTACACCATACACAAAAATAAATTCAAAATGGATGAAAGACCTAAATGTGACATAGGAAATCATTAAAATCCTAGAAGAGAACAGAGGCAGTAACCTCTTTGACATCAGCCATAGCAACTTCTTACTAGATATGTCTCCAGAGACAAGGGAAACAAGCAAAAATAAACTACTGGGATTTTATGAAAATAAAAAGCTTCTGCACAGCAAAGGAAACAATAAAACTGAAAGGCAACCTACAGAATGGGAAAAGACATTTGCAAATGACATATCTGATAAAGGATTAGTGTCCAAAATGTATAAAGAACTTACCAAACCCAACACCCAAAAAACAAATAATCCAGTTAAAAAATGGGCAGAAGACCTGAAAAGACATTTTTCCAAAGAAGACATATAGATGGCCAATAGACACATGAAAAGAGACTCAACATCACTCTTCATCAGGGAAATGCAAAGCAAAACTACAATGAGATATCACCCCACACCTGTCAAAATGGCTAAAATTAACAATACAGGAAACAACAGGTGTTGGTGAGGATGCAGAGAAAGGGGAACCCTCTTACACTGCTGGTGGGAATGCAAACTGGTACAGCTACTGTGGAAAATAATATGAAGATTCCTCAAAAAGTTAAAAATAGAACTACCCTATGATTCGGCAATTGTATCACTAGGTATTTACCCAAAGAATACAAAAATATTAATTCAAAGGGATACATGCACCATGATGTTTATAGCAGCATTATCACCAATAGCCAAATTATGGAAACAGCCCAAGTGTCCATCAACTGGTGAATGGATAAAGAAGATGTAGTGTGTGTATACACACACACACACACACACACACACACACACACACACACACTGGAATATTACTCGGCCATCAAAAAGAATGAAGTCTTGCCATTTGCAATGAAGTGGATGGAGCTAGAGAGTATTATGCTGAGCAAAATCAGTCAAAGATAAATACCATATCATTTCACTCATAGGTGGAATTTAAGAAACAAAACAAATGATCATGGGGGGGGGAAAGAAAGAGGAAAACCAAGAAACCAACTATAGAGAACAAACTGATGGTTAACAGAGGGGAAGTAGGTCAGAGGATGGGTTAAATAGGTGATGGGGGATTAAGAAGTGCACTTTGTGAGGAGCACTGGGTGTTTTATGGAAATGTGGAATGATTATATTATACACCGGGAACATTATACTTCATGTTAACTAACCGGAATTTAAATAAAAACTCAGTAAAATTAAAAAATTTTAAAAAATCAGTAAAAGGGGAGCACAGTGGTCTGTTAACACTTCTTGATTGTTTGCAGACTCGATGGTGCCAGCTACAGATATCACCGCGGTACTCAGAGGCTGTGCAAGAGGGTTTGGTTCTGAGTCTTTCTGGGAAACAATGCATGATCTATAGCTACACAAAGAAAGGTTTAACCAATCACGTGGACTAAAGGTGCTTGCTAAAAGCTATAGACTACTAACTTGGCCAGAGTGGCCAAGGAGGCAGCTTCACCATCTCCATTCCTGGACAGTAAAATACCTCCTCTGGCATCACTAACATTACTGTCCCTGAAAATTCAATCCTGCTACAGCTCCTACAACCGCCTGCAACTACAACAGATGCTCTGTATTCTTTCTTTGGCTTCACTAACTGCTGATTCAAAGTATAGAACAAGTGCATCGAAGTCAGAGCTTAGATCATATGCCCATTTCCTAGGTGCAAAACAGACTGAAACACATTATCTGGGTTTTGTTGTGTTTTTTGTGTTGGGTTTTGTGGTGTTTTTTTTTTTTCCCCCACATTCTTTAGAGGACGGTGGCCTGTGCCTAGCACCAAAACTCGTAAGGTGGGAAATATCCCCCCGCCCCCACCCCCACATACACAAGGGGCTCAGATGCTGGGCTGCCAAAGAGTACAAATATCTACTTTTAAAATGTTATACAATAAAATTAAAATAGTTGATGATCCAAAAGTAATTTTTTATTTGGCTGTCAGATATGTGTATGTGTGTGTATGTATGTGTGTGTGTGTGTGTATTCGTAATAATTGCTTCTAATGGTTTTGCTTAGGTGAGTGTCAAAATAAGACAGTAATGTTCCTTTTGTTGTTCCACAAGGGTTAAGATGGCAATACAGAAGGCTCCTGAGGCCTCCTCTTCCCACAGACACACCGTATGTACAGCTACATTTGCAGCATTGCCTCTGAAAGAGGTTCAGAAACTAGCTGAGTGACTCCTACATACTAGATAATTGAGTAAACACCCACACTGGAACAGGTAGGAAAGGCTATGACATACTCATACCATAAACACATTCCTCCCCCCTTAGCACAGTGCCATAGAGTTGGGTGGGAACCCCCAATTTCTAGTTTTGACCTGAGGAGCAAATGGTTTTTACTGCATATCCAGCACTCCCAATTTTCAGGGCCCTCACTAGACAGGTAAGTTCCCAAAAACACAGCTCTGAAAGCCAACAGGGCCTGTGTCCAGGAGACCCACAAGACTATAGCAAACTTGACATAAGCAAATTCTTAACCGGTGTGTAGCACTCACCACAGCTACCCCTCAGCATTCATCATGGAGTAGGTAAATCATCTATCTTCCAGCCTTTCCCTGAAAAAGGTTTATCTGCACACTTTACAAGCTCCTTCCTGAGATCCAAGCTTATAATTCCAGCAGACTTTAGCGGCTGGCTGCAAACCGCTCCAGAAAGTGAGA